GATTGTTTAAAATATTCAAGTTTGCTTCATCATTCACTGAAGTGTGACTATCTATCATCTATCTATCATCTATCTATCTATCATCTATCTATCTGGCTTTCCATTTTGGCTGACCATTTTGAATTATATAACAACCGCCCCTCCCTTTACTGTGTTTTATAGTATATTGTACACTGCTGTTGATATTCTCTGTTAAGTGGTCTATAAATCTGATAGTATCTCCAAGCTTGCTGAGCATTTAAAAAGGAAAGGAAAAACAAGTCTGACATGATCAGAACTAAGCTTGCACCATCAAGCCTGTTCAGTAGTGTTGCCTGTCCTAGAGAACACCTTCCCATCAGAAGTCAAGAAAATAAACAACTATGTGAGTTTTAGAAGACACATGCAGAATTTTTCAATGTCTGATTTTTTATTGTGCTTTTAATATTTTGTTGGCAGCTGCCCAGAGTGTCTGCAGCAACCCAGTCACATGGGTGACATGTTAATCATCATTATCTGTATCTAAGAGAGTGATATCTTATAGAGGATTTAATGTTGTGCCCACTTTGGAAAATACTCAGAGAGGAGCCTTAAGTTATGTATGGCTGATGTAAATACATTGGAACAAGCATGAGTTTTAAATGTTTCTCCCTTTGTTCATTGAATTACCCCAGCTCCCCAAATACCTAATAAATTATTTTTTCTCTGTCTCTAGATAAAAATCATTTTACGAAGCTAATAAAATGGATGTCAGTAATGAAACTGCTCCATCTGAATTCATCCTTCTGACATTTTCAAACAGTTATGAATGGTGTTTCCTCCTTTCTGGATTTCTCCTCATCACATATCTCTTCACACTGATGGGGAATATTCTCATCATCACTCTTGTCTCCATAGAACCAAGCCTTCAAACTCCCATGTACTTCTTCCTCTGTAACCTATCCCTCCTGGACATCTGCCAGACTACAACCACTATTCCACAGATAATTGTGCACCTGATTTCAGGAAGAAATGCCATCTCATATGAAAGATGCAAGGTTCAACTCTCTTTCTTCATCTTATTCATTGGTACTGAGACCCTTCTGTTGGCTGCCATGGCTTATGATCGTTACGTTGCCATCTGCAATCCTCTCCGCTATAATGTGGTCATGAATTACAGACTCTGTGCTCAACTGGTGTCAGCTTCTTGGTTCACAAGTTCACTCAACACCACCATTCACACCCTTATCACATTCCGCCTGCCCTTTTGTGGTATGAATAAGATCAACTACTTCTACTGTGACATCCCTCCTCTTGTAGCTATCTCCTGTGGGGACATCTCAAGCAGTACTATTGCCCTGCTGGCTACTAGTCCCATAGTGGGGTTTGGACCAGGTATGTGTGTCCTCCTTTCCTATAGTCACATCATCTTTAGAGTTCTGAAAATGCATTCTTCAGATGGGATGAGGAAAGCCTTTTCAACTTGTGCTTCTCATCTCACTGTTGTGCTGCTCTTCTATGGTGGCTCTATCTTTCAATATATCAGACCCTTCTCCAGCTACTCACTGAACAAGGATAGAATGATTGCCCTCTTTAATAACATTCTTTCCCCTTTGTTGAACCCACTGATTTACACCCTCAGGAACAAAGATGTGAAGGGGGCATTACAGAAGAGAATGATGAAGAAAATGTTGTCCTGAAATAGACTGATGTCAATAAATCCTTGGATTTATCTTGTAGTAGTGCTGGGAAATTGAATGTGGGGGCTTGGAACACTATAGCTAGGGCTTGAGATTTCAGTTTTTCTTTAAAGCCTAAGTGTTGTTCCAAATATTCAGTTTAATATTATGCCAAAATCTTTCACACAGCACTATTTCATATCTTTCCAAAAATATAATAATGGAAAATCTCCAACACTTTTCTCTGACTTATGATACTGTTATTATTGGCTTAAATATTGTAGCATACCAGGGCTTATCATTATGTACTTGATTCCCCCCCCCCCCCAGTTCACATTACTTTCTAAAAGTGTCTGCTTTAGATAGACGTAATCTGTCTTTGGGTTTTTTGGCACCAACTGAACAACATCTTTCTGGAAACCTTTTAAGTCAAGATGTCTATTGGGATTTATTATTTAAAAAAAACATTTTTGTTTTGTTTAGTTTTATTGCTTGTTGTTTCCTGCTCTGAACTCCTTCAAGAGGAATCGCAAGATAGAAAGCTAAATAATTTTAATCATCATCATTATCCAGATATATGTAGTGATAATGTTTTAAGAAAGAACAAATTCGATGAATTCTGTGTGTAACCTTTCAAACCTGGAATTCTTATTCCTTGCCTACATTTCTATTCCTGCTTGACTAACCTAAGTCCCACTGATTTTAATAGGCTTCCCCCAAGCATGACCAAATTTGGATCCAGCTCTGTAATTTTAAATTGATGTGCAAGTGGTATACTTGGAAACAGTTGTATTTCATCAAAAATGACACATACTGGAAGTATGGAGATAGAATTGCTAATGACTTATATTTCATGTATTTTCTCCAAAGATTTAATCCTTTCAGGAAAAATAAAAGGTTAATACAAATACTGTGGCAACATCTTCCAATTAAACATTTGAAAACATGCTGTTGTTTATTACTCATTTGATAAGACAGGGGGAGCAAAAAGCGATTTATTCATAAATAGTTGGAATTTGTTTGTGACATTCTGGCATGGTTGTAAGATCAATCCAGCTACACAATTCCCCCCCCCCTTAGATTTCATTTTGATGCATCATATTATGGAATAGAACATTGTTGGCATCCATCTGTCTTGAGAGACTATGGAGTGTGCCTTAGGGGTAAAGTCAAACTGCTGCATTAGTGGCACCAAAGTAACCTCCTTGGGGTGCAAGCCAGGGCAGTATGTATGGAGGTCCTGGGCTGCCCAGATGACATGACTCCATGCCATTGACCTCACTGATGTGGTCCAAAGTAAAGCAGAGCAAAACATTTGGCACCAACCTGGCTGCAGGAGTTGCCAGAAGGAGGCATGCAAGGTACCATCCAATCACCTTAGGGACTCCAGTCTGGCTTTGTGTAGGGTTTACTCCTTAATATTTTATTCTCCTAAAGAAATCCCACAAGTTAATGGCTTAGGATAAGAGTTTTCCTTCTCCTATAAGAACTACCATCCCAGGTTGATGAGCCCCATCTGCTTCATCCACAAATATGCTTTTGTTTTCCTCTGTTTAATCTGTGGTGAATACATTTGTAAGCTCTGTAAGACTCTTAACCTGAAGTTGGGTGGGAATCTCACATGGCAAAATGGCCCCAAACTCTTCAAAGTTTCTAAGTGTCCTCACAGTACCTTTATCAACTTTGTTTTCAGTGAAAAATGTCCAAATAATGTGAATCATTAAACTTATACCAGTGGGAATAGTTTCTTATTTTGTTTTTCCTACACTCCACTTGGTTCTCCACCACCAGACACTTATACACATGCCGCCACACTGGGGAGGCCCAGCTAGCATGCTTGTCAATATATAAAAGCAAACACTGAAAGATAATAGGACAGTTTGCAATCTTTGACTTACTGCCATGAACTGCAACACAAAGAAAATATTCATTAAGAACGTGACCTCACCATCTGGGAATCCAAGATTTAAACACAGTTTAAAGGATTCTAATTGGTAAGCCTTGCAGGTAACTCAGTCTTATGTAAATGCATCTCAATGCAAATTTGATGTTTAATGCCAAGGTGATACTAAACATACTTCAGACCGTCTTTTCTAAAGATAAATTGAACCTAAGAAGAGCCATGTCAAATCAGAGTACAGCACCATTGTAGTCTAGTATCCAGTTCTCACAGTGACCAGCCAGATACCAAAAGGCATACCCAAAGCAGAAGCTGAGTGCAACAGCAATCTCCAAACTTGTGATCCCCATCAACTGGCATTCAATGGCACACATTGCCCTTGACAACAGAGGCAGAAAGATAGTCATTATAGTCATGGATAGCTTTAACCTTCATGAATTGTCCAGTTGTACAGAACTGGCATGGATATATGCTCAGATTTGCTGTTCATAAAAAATGAGAGCTGGTGCATTTTGGCTCTCCTGGTGGTGTCTTAATCTCCTATTTGTTTGCAGCAAGGCATTTAGTTTTGGAGCAATTGCTTTGTAGGATTCCATGACAATCAGTACCAAGCAATGGTCAGAGATAGTTTAAAATATTCATGTTTGCTTCATTATTCCCTGAAGTGTGACTATCTATCTATCTATCTATCTATCTATCTATCTATCTATCATCTGTCTGTCTATCTATCTATCTATCTATCTATCTATCTATCATCTATCTATCTATCTATCTATCTATCTATCTATCTATCATCTATCTATCTAATCTATCTATCATCTATCATCTATATCATCTATTTATCTATCTATCTGACCATGGTGAATTATATAACAACCCTCCACCCTTTTACTGTGTTTTATAGTACATTGTACACTACTATGATACTCTCTGTTAAGTGGTCTATAAATCTGATTGTATCTCCAAGCTTGCTGAGCATTTAAAAAGGAAAGGAAAAACAAGTCTGATTTGATCAGAACTAAGCTTGCACCATCAAGCCTGTTCAGTAGTGTCGCCTGTCCTTGAGAACACCTTCCCATCAGAAGTCAAGAAAATAAACAACTATGTGACTTTTAGAAGACACATACGGATTTTTTAAAATGTTTGATTGTTTATTGTGCTTTCAATATTTTGTTGGCAGCTGCCCAGAGTGTCTGCAGCAACCCAGTCAGATGGGTGACATGTTAATCATCATTATCTCTAACTAAGAGAGTGATATCTTATAGAGGATTTAATGTTGTGCCCACTTTGGAAATACTCAGAGAGGAGCCTTAAGTTATGTATGGCTGATGTAAATACATTGGAACAAGCATGAGTTTTAAATGTTTCTCCCTTTGTTCATTGAATTACCCCAGCTCCCCAAAAACCTAATAAATTATTTTTTCTCTGTCTCTAGATAAAAATCATTTTACGAAGCTAATAAAATGGATGTCAGTAATGAAACTGCTCCATCTGAATTCATCCTTCTGACATTTTCAAACAGTTATGAATGGTGTTTCCTCCTTTCTGGATTTCTCCTCATCACATATCTCTTCACACTGATGGGGAATATTCTCATCATCACTCTTGTCTCCATAGAACCAAGCCTTCAAACTCCCATGTACTTCTTCCTCTGTAACCTATCCCTCCTGGACATCTGCCAGACTACAACCACTATTCCACAGATAATTGTGCACCTGATTTCAGGAAGAAATGCCATCTCATATGAAAGATGCAAGGTTCAACTCTTTTTCTTCATCTTATTCATTGGTACTGAGACCCTTCTGTTGGCTGCCATGGCTTATGATCGTTACGTTGCCATCTGCAATCCTCTCCGCTATAATGTGGTCATGAATTACAAACTCTGTGCCCAACTGGTGTCAGCTTCTTGGTTCACAAGTTCACTCAACACCACCATTCACACCCTTATCACATTCCGCCTGCCCTTTTGTGGTATGAATAAGATCAACTACTTCTACTGTGACATCCCTCCTCTTGTAGCTATCTCCTGTGGGGACATCTCAAGCAGTACTATTGCCCTGCTGGCTACTAGTCCCATAGTGGGGTTTGGACCAGGTATGTGTGTCCTCCTTTCCTATAGTCACATCATCATGAGGGTTCTGAAAATGCATTCTTCAGATGGGATGAGGAAAGCCTTTTCAACTTGTGCTTCTCATCTCACTGTTGTCTTGCTTTTTTATGGCAGCTGTCTTTTTACATATGTCAGGCCCTTCTCCAGCTACTCATTGAACAAGGATAGAATGATTGCCCTCTTTAATAACATTCTCTCCCCTTTGTTGAACCCACTGATTTACACCCTCAGGAACAAAGATGTGAAGGGGGCATTACAGAAGAGAATGATGAAGAAAATGTTGTCCTGAAATAGACTGATGTCAATAAATCCTTGGATTTATCTTGTAGTAGTGCTGGGAAATTGAATGTGGGGGCTTGGAACACTATAGCTAGGGCTTAAGATTTCAATTTTTGTTTCAAAGCCTGTGGGGTGTTCCAAATATTCAGTTTAGTAGTAGTCCAATTTATTGAACACCCCCCCCAGCACTATTTCATATCATTCCAAAATATTGTAATGGAAAATCTGCTTAGTTGGAAGATGCTATCTGTATTAACCTTTTATTTTTCCTGAAAGGATTAAATCTTTGGTGAAAATACATGAAATATAAGCCATCAACAATTCTATTTCTATACCTCCAGTATGTGTCATTTTTAATGAAATACAACTGTTTCCAAATATACCACTTGAACATCAATTTAAAATTAGAGAGCTGGATCCAAATTTGGTCATGCTTGGGGAAAGCCTATTGAAATCAGTTAGGGTAGTCAAGTACGAATAGAAATGTAGGCAAAGAATAAAAATTCCAGGTTTGAAAGGACTACCTTCCCAGGTTGATGAGCCCCATCTGCTACACACACCCACACACATGCACACACACACTATGTTGGTTGCTTTTGTTTTGCTCTGCTTAATCTGTAATGTAATTATTATTGCATATTGTCTTTTTTCTTTTCTGTTACCAGAACCAATAAAATAATGCATTTCCATCATGACACTTGTTGGCATCTGTTTCAAGAAACAATAGAGTGTACCTCCACAGTGAAGTGGAGCATTAGTAGCACCAAAGTGACTATTTAGGTTGTTAATATTGTGCATATGGAAACAGGGAGCTGCCTGTACTCGGAGTTTTAATTTCTCAGATACAATCATGAGCTTACATTATTGGTATGGTATTGATATTGTCTTTTTAAAAAGCAGTTATTAAGTGGTTACATAAATAGACACTGATTTCATTAAAAATATGTTCTTTTTGAGAAACCTCTGGTCTTTCAGATGTTGCTTGAGTATAGATCCTATTGCACCTAACCATTAGCCATGTTGCCTGGGGCTGTAGGGAGTTGGAGTCCACATTATATCTGAGGACCACTAGTTTCCTGCCGTTGTGTTACGCTTCAACTATATAAGATGTTAACTGCAATTTTAAATGCCATTTTAGCATCACTTGATATCTTTCAGAAACTAGTGTTGTCTGTTTTGCTTCAGGAAACAAGATTCACAGTAATTTGTTGCAACTTGCATTACTACAGGCTGAGATCAACCAGGGTATGAAAAAGAGATGAAGTTGGGTAGCATGGAGACCCAAACTGACATCAAACACCTCGTATTTTCATATGAGCATTTGGTTTGTTGTGCTACTATGCGGGGAAATGTGAGAACTGAAACACAGTTAACCTTGATAATGCATACTTCTCAAAATTTTGTAACATGGCTCCTCTGCCAAATAAAGCATTCATTTACTGGGTTGTGGTGTTGGTGCCTAAAATTCATAAAAAAGTGTATATTTGGGAACATTTACAATAAAATACTGAGGAATAGTCATGAGGATTAAAAGAATTAATAATGTGGAAATCTGAATAATTGAATTGAAATGGGGGGCATGGGAGAAACTGAGAGAAACCAACACTGACAGATTCACCCATCACTACTTAGAGTTTGGACAAGAAATGAACTGTTTATCTTTGAAATGGTCAGGCAAATATCACTTTTTAAAAGAAGGTGTTAATCTGCTATAGGAACTAACCCTAACCTTCATGGCACAGGACCTCCAGAGATGCATAGATATTAACCCCATGCCACTCTAAGGTTTATGAAATTAATTCAGGTGAAAAGAATGATTAGTGGGGCGACAGCAGTTTGAGTCAGAGAGCATCCTGGAGCTTTCGCGTCTGAAGACTAACAAGATCTCAGGGTGCTTGCTGTCTCCCTGGAGATCTGATGCAGGAGTCGTGAGCTTGGCTATCAGAATCTTTAAGTCATATTGCTACCTGTGCTTAGCCTGTGTGCTCATGGGATCAAGTGTTGAAAAGCACCCTAGAGGCCATGCAGTCCAACTCCCCTCACCCCAAAGCTTACATTATTATATACGTACAGTTAATAATGAAACAGTAAGTGGAATCTGTTTAGTAATACTAATAATTTGTAATCAAGAATTAGGAAGGACCCTGTAGGCCATCCACCCAGACTCCTGACAGGTTGCAACATTAATATATAGTTTTTTTTAAAAAAAGAAATAAGTCGAAACTACAATGCAAGAGTAAAACTAAAATACTTCTTCCTTCATGTAAGTTTCTCCAAAACACAAACACCTCAACAAATATATTTTCCCTCTCTGTCCATAGATAAAAAAAACATTTTGTGAAGCTAATAAAATGAATGTCAGTAATGAAACTGCTCTATCCAAATTCATCCTTCTGGCACCCCCTCTGCCTGCAGGGGGAAAAAGGCCTAGTGTAAAATGGGTAAAAAAACTGCACAGGACAACATTATGGGATTTAAAAATTGGCCACAACTGGACTTCCGGGTTGGCGCCATCACCGAATGGCGGACTCCCTCCGAGCTCCGGAGGGAGCCTGCTCGGCAGGGGTTGGGTCCTACCGTGCCGGCGACGCGGGGACCCTCAAAAACCACGGGCATGGAGCCCGTGGACATGGTTGACTCCGCGGGCACCGTTAGCGCCCTCCCGACTCGTGAAGGAGCCTTTTTAAAGGCTACGGAACGGGTGCCGGGGAGCGGCGTGGTGCTGTGAGTCCTCTGCTTTCCCTGCCGAGCGAAGCCGCATGCCATTCGACGGAGAGCGCTGACTTCTTCTATTGAAAATTCGGACTATAAACAACAACCCGTGAGTAATTTGGAAATCGGACTTAAAAGGGGGGGGGGAAGAAATTTTTTTCGGATTCGGCACGAGCGGGGGAGATCCAAAAAGGAAGTCAGTCCCCCCCTATTGTAAACATTTTAAAACAAGGATTTGGCAACCAAGGTCGAGAAAGGAGCTTGCTTCTGTTTATTGATAAAAATTATTAATTCCACGATGGGAAATTATAAGAACTGTGCTGGAGGAGAAGAGTGGAGGGTGAGAATGAAAGTGCAACCCCCCCGGGAACCGGGGTGACCCACGAGAGAGCCTGGTGAAGAGAGACGGAGACTTTGACAGCTGTCAAAGTAGCTGTCAAAGTTGGAGAATATAAAGAGGACTTTGCTATGAGGACTTTGCTGGTTAGTTTTGTTACAATTTGGATATAAACTGTCGAAAATAAGGAATAACAATCTGACTTTTGGATTAGAGGAAACAAAGTTACTATAATCCCCCTAGAGGGGTTTCGGGACATTACAAGAACGGTCGTAAGTGGAAAAATGCTCTTGGAATCGTACAGGACTTGTTATCTTCTGGGAAAGCTGCAAAAACGAAACAGTATTTTGTCTACAGAGGTGTTTATATTAAAGGAGACAATAGAATTATCTATTGAAGAAAGGAAGGGACTGGACGTAAGTTTTTGTTTCTGAACTAACAACAACTTCTGTAGAGGTACCAAATTTCTGAATTAGAATGTTTTAGCAGCGGAACAGGAAAAGAAACCTGAGAAAGTGAGAAAAAAGAACAAAGGACTGATGACGACTTGGAAAGAACAAGGGAGGAGCCATAAAGACCAAGGAAACTAAAGGCCCGTCGGGGGCCTCTTTAAGACTGGACGTCTGAAGTTAAACATTATTAAAAAAAGAAAAGAAAAAAACCGGTAAGGTGGAACTGGGGGAAAAAACCGGCCATGGATCTGAGATCTCCAGGCTGACAATAGACAGACTGATGGATATGGGGAATCGAAACCGGGGAAGGGGAGATTTGGAATCCAAAGGGTGTGCAACTATTTTTTGAATCTTTTTATATCTTTTACTTTGATTGGACGTGTTCATTAAAAAAGGGAATTCGTGGAAGGAAATTGGGGTGGACCTTGGGGGGAATTTTTTTTCTGTTAATGATGAGGGATGGTGGAATGACTATATAATTAAATTGAATAGTGGGTTAAACAAATTAAGTTTTAAATTGGGAGTAAGAGCTTGTAGAACCAAATTAATGAAAGGGAAATACAATTGGGAGGGGGATGGGGGAGTCCTAGAAAGATGTTAATGAAAGTAAGGTTTTAAGTGTATTTTTTTCTTTTTTTGTATTTTCTTTTTTTGTGTTTTGGAAACTTTAATAAATATGATTTAAAAAAAAAATAATTGGCCACAACTTTGTTCATTCCAGATGTAGGTAGGCTTTGGCTGAAGCATTGGGCGTATATCCATTCTCAGCCCCATGTTTGGGGCAAGGGGCTGAGACTTGAGCAGGGTCAAACTTGGAGTGGAAGGACCACCTCAAGGAATCCCTGCCTCCCTAGACATGAGTGTTACATTTGTGGAGCCTCCCAATCCTTTCTCAATTGCCCCAGAGGCTTGTCCTTCAAGGCATTCCCATATTTTGATTGAGGTCAGCATTGTTCTTGATTTATTAAAAGACAGCTACTCTTGCTAATATAGGAACCTGGAATGTAAGAACCATGAACCTGGGTAAGTTGGAGGTGGTCAAAAATGAGATGGCAAGAATAAATATTGACATCCTGGGCATCAGTGAACTAAAATGGACGGGAATGGGCGAATTCAGTTCGGATGACCATCACATCTACTACTGTGGGCAAGAAACCCCTAAAAGAAATGGAGTGGCCCTCATAGTCAACAAAAGAGTGGCGAAAGCTGTACTGGGATGCAATCTCAAAAATGATAGAATGATCTCGATACGAATCCAAGGCAGACCTTTTAACATCACAGTAATCCAAGTTTATGCACCAACTACTGGTGCTGAAGAAACTGAAATTGACCAATTCTATGAAGACTTACAACACCTTATAGAAGTGACACCAAAGAAGGATGTTCTTCTCATTATAGGGGATTGGAATGCTAAAGTAGGGAGGCAAGAGATAAAAGGAACAACTGGCAAGTTTGGCCTTGGAGATCCAAACGAAGCAGGGCAAAGGCTAATAGAGTTCTGTCAAGAGA